TCTGTTTATGTTTATGGACCTTGGACTGCCTATGGATTTTGGACCTTGGATTCTGGACCCCTGGATTTCCAGACTTTTCAATCTTGTTGCCCTGTTCCGACTATTGCTGCCTACCATTACCTCAAGGACACTATCTCTAGATTGGACCTTCCTGCGAACCCACCAACAAATTTAGCTGAACATTTTTTTAATCAACTGCGCAATTTTCATTTTCTTTTTCTTCTCTTTTTGTATGGGGAGTGCATGTGGTACATATGTGTTGGTTGAATGATCCCACAGTTTTTAAAATTAATGAATTTTTTAGCTATTGTATTGTATTAATTGTATTTGATTAGTGGGGTATGTATGTGCAGAATGCTTGGCCGGTATGGATGGGAAGACTGAGAGCGCAGTCCGTAGCCCCCACCACTGAGTGCACCAGCAGAAGTGGATGGGGGCCCGGTTCTGCCTCTCACCCTAGAATGTGTGGTATGAACGGCCTGCCGGGGAGAACGGCGGCTTCGGGAGGGGAAGTAGGGTCTATGGGTGCGGGAATGGGCCAGTGCATCCCGGTCATAGTTGGGAGAGGCAGGTTTGACGGGAGCTATAGGGCTAGCCATTACCGGGGAAGGATGGTTCGCTACGTCACAGCGATCCCTCCTTCCGGCCCTGTCAGCTCTATTCCAGGACCAGATGGATTGGATTGGATTTATTATTAGATTTCTAGATGGCGAGAGTTGTCAGGGCCCTGGTCTCAGGCTGCTGTTGCTAAATGCCAGGTCTGTGGTTCACAAAGCTCCCCTCGTCCGGGACCTAATACTAGACGAGGGGGCAGACCTGGCATGTATTACTGAGACCTGGCTGGGCCATGAGGNAGAGCACCTGGATGTTCCACAGCACTACTGGCAAAATATACTGTGGACAGATGAAACCAAAATTGAGTTGTTTGGGAAAAACACATAACACTATGCAGTTCAGAGCACATTTTATGACCAATTCATGCAAAACTCCACGTAATCCCAAGGGGTTCACATACTTTTTCTTGCAACTGTATATAAGGCAGATGCTGCCGCGGTTAGGCCTTCTTCCCAAGACTGCCCACACCGTTCTCCAAATACCACAGACCACTGTCACAATGTTTCCGAGGCTTTCTAAAACGTCACTGGAAGGCTGCATCAAATCATGTTGGCCGTTCTACAGTTTTTCAGACAGTGTTCAAAAAGTTTCTGAAACCATATCAATAGTTGATGATCTATTACCACAACAAATGACTGAACTTACAATTAGACTTTCAGAATTTTAACTGCCTACTTCACAGGTGGTACTGTAATTCTATTGTCTGGATATCACAAGTGGGTCTCTCGTGTCTTTGAATGGTCCCAAACCAATGTTTGAGCAATGTAACACAAAAGAGGGAGCCACGTCCAGTCCTTTTAAGACAAAGTATGGGTTTTCCCCCCAGTTTTCAGAGCAAATGGCAATCCAGTTGACTCATCAAGTCAATTAATAGTTGCACTTCTGCAAATTGAAGCAGTCATAATGCTGCACCGATTCTAGAATCATCTAACTCTAGCTTGCTGTTATACTTGAGATGTTGCATTGGATATTTCTGCCAGGTCCCTGCATCTCCTTTCTAAAACTTGCCAACACTGGTTTTTTTCCAAGGCTAGTAGATTCTCTGGGCTTCTATAAATCTTGCCAGGGATATAAGCTGTTTCCCGCATTTCCATCTTCCCCCAAGTCTGTTATGTGGCTTCTAATGCTGCAACTGAGTCACACTGGCCACCACCTTTTCCAGATGCTATTACTGCAGCTACTGCCAAGCCCCTTGACAATGATCTCATTCCAAACCTTTTCCTTTGGATATTCTTCAATCAAGCCACTCTAATCTTTCTCAACTGTCTTTGCTGCATATGGTGCACCCAGCACTTATCAAACCTCTCTAGCTTTTTCCTCTTCTTCATGGACACTTCCTCCACCATTCCCAGCATACTAATGTCTCCCATGTCACCACTTCAGGTGCAGCAGGGCAGATGGCAAACCCATTTACAGAAATGCAGCCATTTTAAAGGAGGAAACTCAAACATTTCCTCTTTTAGATTAGATTAGATTTAATGAATTTATAGGCCGCCCAATCCCGAAGGACTCCGGGCGGCTTACAACAAATACATTTAAAAAATAGAAGGGTTAAAACAGAGAAACATAGATTTAAAAAACCACATCATACACCCAGTCCAATCGGGGCTGGACCTCAATCATGAGGTAAACAGCCCGAGGCCTGCCGGAATAGCTAGGTTTTAATAGCCTTTCGGAAGGCCATGAGAGTGGGTAGGGTCCGGATCTCTGGGGGCAGTTCATTCCATAGGGTCGGAGTGGCTACAGAGAAGGCCCTCCCCAGGGTGGTTGCCAGCTGACATTGTCTGGCTGACGGCACCCGGAGAAGGCCCACCCTGTGCAATCTT